ATCACCACTACAACTATTGTCTTTTCATTAAATATATTTATTCCACCTTTTTATAAGCTCGCTTTGTTTTTGCTTTTTTTTAATAATTTTTTTATAATAGTTACAAAACACCAACGTTATATTTATACAAAAAGAAAAAAAGAAAAAAGAAAAAAGAAAAAAAATAAAAAAAGCTATTAATAACTTCATCCTATATCATATAATATTTTTATTATAATTTGTCTTTAATAATGTTAATTTAATAATACATACTCACATCTCACCTAAATCTTTGTTAAAAAAAAAAAAAAAATTAAAAATAATAATTTGTATAACTATTATATCACTCACTAACAGTGGGCTATGATAAATAGATGATTAACAACACATAACAATAATAATAAAAACTGTTCACCTTAATTTTAATTATATATATATCCATATATGTGTGTGTAATACAAAAGTACAAAAATAACAATATACCACCCAAGAAATAATATATTTTAACAACTTCAAACACTCACACACAAATTCAAAAAAAAAAAAAAAAAACAACACACAGATATACATATCCTCTGTATATCTAACATACCCAAACACACACCAACAAAACACAAAGAAACTATTTTAAAAAGAAAAAAAAATAAAAAAAATAAAAGAAAAGAGTAATCACAACAACAATAACAATTGCCATTTCCATATTTAAATTTTGATTTTTTTTTTTTTTTCTTTTTTTCTTTCTTTTTTTCTTTTTCCATTTATAATTATTTATTTGTTTAATTTTTTAATTTTTTTTTTTTAATCAATCATTCTCAATATAGTTAAATTAAATTTAATTGTGTTACTATATAAAATTATATACATATATATTTATATATAAATAACATTAACACACTTAACACAAAAAACACACTCACACAAACACACTATTTTAAAAATAAATATTAATATATATATAAATAATATATAATTATATATAAAATAAAAATAAAAAATAAATACTAATCATTTATTTTAAAATTTTTTTTTTTTTTTATCATTTTTTTAAAAATAAAAATTAATACAACATATTAACATATTAATATAACAAATAATAATAATATTTAATATATCTCTATTATTTTTATTTTTTTATTTTTTTTTGCCATATACATTAAATTCAATTCTTTTAGTATTTTTTTTGTATTATTATTAAAAAAAACGAGTAAGTAAAAAAAAAAAAAAAAAATTTTAAAAAAAATATATCAAAAACTAATTTTTTTTTTTTTTTTTTTTTTTTTTTTTAATTTTTTTTAATTTTTTTAATTTTTTTTTTTTATTTACCCTTGGGGAAACTATCTATTTGGAAATTATAATTTTTAGAAAGATTTTGATAGTCATTTTTTTTCTTTTTAAAAAAATTTAATAATTGTTTAATATAATTGTACAACACAAACAACAACAAAAACACAAACAACAACAAAAAACATTATATATTAACAACACATAAAAAAACTGATAAATAATAGATTTTTTTATAATAAAACATTTTCTATAATAATAATAATATTGTAATAACATAATATAATATAAAATATATTATTATTTTTATACACCTTATAAATTAAATATTTTTATATAAAGCACACTCACATTAAATTTAATATAAACACACATATATACATATACATACAGAAATGAGATTCAAATGCTTTGGATCAGAAGAAACTGAAACCAGTTCAAAAATTGATAAAAGTATCGAAACCGACAGAAGAAAACTTAGAAAGGATGTAAAATTATTATTATTAGGTCCAGGTGAATCTGGTAAATCAACTATTTTTAAACAAATGAAAATTATTCAAGAAGATGGTGGTTATAGTGTCGAAGAACTTTTAGAATATCGTGCATTCGTTTATTCAAATTGTATTTCACAAATGGAAGCTTTATTAACTGCCTCTGCCAAATTAAATATTGAATTAGAAGTCGAAAATAAAGTAGGTAGTATTATTTTTTTTAAAAAAATATATATATATAAAAAACCGAAAATTTAATAACTAAATCGGGATCAAATCGCGAAATCGTAAATAATATATTAATTATTTTTTATTTTTTTTATTTTTTTTTTCATAATATTAGACCAGAGCAGCCAATGTTTTAAGAAGAACTATTGGTAATGAACCATGGACTTTATTAGCCGCTGACATTAAACACCTTTGGGAAGATAAGGGTATCAAAGAAACCTACGCTCAAAAAGATAAACACTTCCAATTAAATGATTCAGCAGCATAGTAAGTATTTTATTTTATTTAATTTTATTATTCATCAATAGTTTACTAATTTTTAATTAAAAGTTTCTTTGATAATATCGACAGATATATGAGAGAAGATTTTGTACCAAATGAACAAGATGTTTTAAGATGTCGTGTTAGAACAACTGGTATTCAAGAATCAGAATTTACTTTTGATAAGATTAGATTAAAGATTGTCGATGTTGGTGGTCAAAGATCTCAAAGAAGAAAATGGATTCATTGTTTCGATTGTGTTACTGCTGTAATTTTTGTTGCTGCTATGAGTGACTACGATCAAGTACTCAGAGAAGATGAATCAGTAAACAGAACCAGAGAATCATTAGCTCTCTTCAAAGAAATTGTAAATTGCGATTACTTTAAAGAAACTCCAATCGTTTTATTCCTCAACAAAAAAGATCTTTTCAAGGAAAAATTAAAGAGAGTTCCACTCCAATCCTGTTTCTCTGATTACACTGGTCCAAATAAATATAAAGATGCTGCCATGTTCATACAATCACAATACCTTGCTCAAGGTCCATCACCACGTACTATCTATACCCATGCAACTTGTGCTGTTGATACCGAAAATATTAAATTTGTTTTTAGAGCCGTAAGACAAACTATTTTAAGTCAAGCTTTAGAACATTTCTAAAGAAAAGAAAAAAGATTTTTTTTAATTTCTTTTCTTTTTTTTTTTAATATAAATGATATATCAACAAAACATTTTCATAAAATATTTTTTCATTAATAATAGTTTATAAAATCATTACCGCCTCACCCACGTCAATATAATATAGTCTTTCCTCATTCCTCATCTCACTTTCATCCTCAACAAAACCCCCATGTAATAATACAAAAGGGCATACTCAAGGTCAAGTAAATTTACATTTATCCTTTTTTTTCCGCTCCGAACTTTTTTTTTTCCAATATAGTTAATAATATAATTAAATAATAATAACAACAACAACAACAACAACAACAACAACAACAACAATAATAAACACATTTTCTCAAATATATAGCCAAATAAACTAAACAAATAATTTTTTTTTTAAAAAAAAAAAAAAAAAAAAAAAGAGAAGAAAAAAAGTTATTCAAATTTGCTGTTTCAATTTTCAATATCAAACTTCATATATTTTTATAGTCATTTTTAAATAAAATTTAAATCTATTGTATATTATAAAAAAAATAAATAAAAAAACAATAAAAAAAAAATAAATTAGTAAATTATTTTTAATTACTAAAAAATACTTTTTTTCTTTTTCCTTTTTTTTTTTTTAATAGATAATTATGAGTGCAATTTTTTTATTTATTTTTTATCTTTTTTTTTTAAAAAATACAATTCTTTTACAAATACAAAAGTTTTTTTAATAGAAATACAATGTTTTTAATTAATTGGAGTTTGGTGAAAATGAATTATGGGGGTTTGCCTGGAGCTTTTTTGGAGACTTGATTATCACTAAAGACAATTAAAGTTGCTTGGTTTGAAGAGTGACTTGTTACAACAGAGTCAGATTTCTTCATTGAAGAGTTAAAACTAAGGTTGGATAAAGCAGCTTTTTAATGATGAAATTAATATTTATAATTAACTTGTAGTTCTATAAAAAATAATATACATACAGAATAATGTCATTTTATTTTATTTTATTTTATTTTATTTTATTTGTTTGATTAAATTATATGTTTGTTGAATGAATTATAATTTTTTTTTTTTTTTGTTTTTATATTCAAAAAAATTTTATAAAATTATAAAAATTATAATTAAAATAAAAAAAATCTATAGTTCATCAAATTTCAACTGTTTTTTTTTAATTTTGATTTTATTATTTGAAAGGAGTGGTGTATTAAACAAAAAAATAACATCAAACTTGATTTTAAAATTAAAATTCGAAAAAATTTTATTTTTGTGAACACTTTGGTGTGTTAAATTTTTTTTTTTTTTATAACCGACATCAAAATATGAGATTATCTTTGTGGATGTTATAATTTTTAATAAAAATAAAATGGATGGTCTAAATTTAAACTTTTTTTTTTTTTTTTGATTTTAAAGAAAAAACATGTAATTTTTTATCTTATTATTTATTAATTATTTTTTTATACACAGAATTTAATTGATTTGAGATAACAATCATATTTAAATTTTCTTTTAAAAAATAATATATTTTGTTGTCATATAAAAAATCGTGATTTAGGTTGGAAAGATAAATTGTTTTTAATGATTCAGGGATGTTTGAATGGTTTATGTTTGACAGGTTTTTGGGTTTATATTTTTCGTTTATTAGTAAATATTCGAGCTGGCTTGGTAACCATTGTGAATCAGGTTGGATTTTCGGTAGTTGATTAGTGTACAGAACTTTTAAACCACTTGGAAAAATATCGGAAGAAAGAGGGTACCTTGATATTAGTTTTAGTGACACAAGTGTTTCTGGTAATGAGGATTCATCTAACTGTTTTCTGTATTCAATTAGTTCTAGATTTAACAGTGATTTTGGAAAGATTTCTTTTTGGATCGGTTTTCTATAGCAGTTCAAAGTAATTGATGTAAGGTTTTCTAAATTTAATAGTATGTCGTCATTTAAACTAAAATGTCCATAGTTTGAGTGGATTTTAATTGATTTGAGTGTGGGTGGGAATAATGCTTGCTCTATTTGAGTATCTGGACCAAACAGGTTTATTTTTAAAGTATTGATTGAGCTAAATTTAATCCTAGAGTTTATAAAATCTAAATTTCCCTCTTTAATAAATAATACTTTTAGTTTTTCTAAATTGCTTTCACATATTATGTCATGATCTAAAGATTCAATTTTGTTTTTATTTTCTTGAAAAAGAGAGCTGAGTGTACTATTAAGTTCTAATTTTTTTAAATTATTAAAACTGGTTGTTTTAAAAAAATTAAACTGATAGTGATTTAATCTATTTTGTAGTGATTGATGTTGCGGGAGAGGAGCTAAATTGAACATTGAGGAGTTATTTGATATTATTGAAATCTTTGATAGATTTGGGTTTCTATTATTAAAATCTATAGAGTTGTTTTTGAAGTAGTTATTTGAGATGATGAGGTTATTTAATGATTTTGGTAATTTGAAAATGTAGTTGTCGCCCAAATATGAATACATTTCAAGTGATTCGATGGAATTCGGAAATAGGAGGTTGTTTTCACCATCTTCATTAGCTGGTTCACTAAAATTGCCCATGATTGAAAATTTTTTTAATGTTTTTGGTAAAAGACCTTGAAAAGGTTGATTGAAATCATTACCCAGAGATAATTTTAATAGGTTGTGAGGTAAATAGTCAATTGGCTGGTTAAAATTAGTTCCAAATACTATCGACTCTAAACTTTGGGGAAGGGTGTTTGGAAGAATAGGCTGGTTATAGTCAATATTGAAGGTCAAACACTTTAGCGTTTGAGGAAGAGTGTTAGGTTCAATGATAGAGTTGAAACCTAAACCTAGTGTTAATTTAGTTAAGCCATTTGTAGGGAATATGCTTGTAGTGGGTGAGTATGATAGTCCTTGATTGGTGTCTAAAAATTCAAAAATAATGTTTGTTACTTTAGGTGTAATTACATCATTATGTAGCGGAACTGTTGTCTCTTGGAAAATTATTGTATCTATATTACAAAACTCTTCTAAAAGCTCTTTTATTTCGTTATTTAACAAATCTTCTTGAAATATGGTAATTGATTCGATTTGCTGAAATGGTTTTAAGTACCTCAGTACCTCTAATAAATATTGATAACTTTGTTTCTTGATATCATATATCACAATTGATTTTATATATTCTAAAATTTCATTATTTTTTATTACCTCTAATGTGTTTTGATTTAAGTGTATATATTGGCTGTATCTGAAACAATTATATAGTTTTAAATAGTTTTTGATTTTTGTTTGAAGGTATATATTATTCCATATTTTCTTGAAAGTGCCATAGTTATTATTGTTATTGGTATTATTGGTATTATTATTATTATTATTCATAAATATTAATATTGATGTTGATATCTATGCTTTTATTATTTAAATATTATTTTATTATTTGTTAATTGTAAAAAAAATTAATGAAAATGAAAAAAAAATGAAAAAAACTTTTTAATTTTTAATTTTTTTTTTTTAATTTTGGAATATATTTATTATAATTTATTTTTTTCTAGAAAGGTTATTTTTTTTTTTACCATTCTGATGGTTTAAAATTTACAAATTGGACACCTGATTCGTGTCTTTCGTTTCTAAATAAATGGAAATAGACAGGATATAAAACACGAGAGGCACCATCAATTTCTTTTAATGGTGGTGGACGTGAGGGAATACCAATGGGTGAATTTGGCATCATGTCAGAGACCCAACCTGTATCGCAACCTATTACATAAATATTTTTCTTTTCAAATTGATAAGCAATTGATTTTGTGAGCATATTTAAACTTGCTTTTGCCATATTTGTATGACAATGGAATCCTGACATTGCATTTGATTCGTGATTGATATTACCTTCTGGACTTGTAACATTAACAATAACACTCCAATCAGGTCTAGCCATTTTGTTTTTTGCTTCTAAATATTTCTCTTTGGTTTCATTGCTCATTTTTGAAATGATTTCTTCATCATTTTTATTTAGACCCATGTGGGAGCTTAGTTGGTTGATTAACATAAATGGAACTGTATTATTAATTAATTGTACCTCTAGCATTTCACTAAAAAAAAATTAGAATCTGTCTTTTTTCTTTACTAAAATATATTTTAGTATTAATAATAAATTTGTTTTTACTTACGCAGTTGTAATCTCTTCTACAGTTGAGTTCCATGTATGCTTTGTACGTAAATCTAATTGTTGACCATGAAGGTCCATTTTACCAGTTGGGAATAAGGATTCATCAATCTCATCTTCATCATCTTTGGTAACAACTGATTCGACAATATCTATTGAGCTCTTTGAATTTTTGTTAAATAAAAGTAATTCTTTACCATTGTTGTCGTCATTATTATTATTATTATTATTATTATTATTACTATTATTTTTGATAGTATTCATATTTATATTTTCTATTTTTGATAAAATATTTGGTGGTAGTTTATCAAATGATGAAATTATAGTCTTTTCGTTAAATAATAAATTGTGATAGTAGGCCCTTGGGTAACGAATTGTTTGTGCTGCATTGTTAATTAAAATATCGATTCTAGAAAATTCTTTTTTGACAGTATCAATAAATTGTTGAACTGATTGCAGGTTTCTAAAGTCCACACCATATATATATAGATTTGAGAAATTATCAGGCTGAATATTCTTTTTAAATTGTTCGTAAGCTGAGGCGGGGAATCTAGTTGTAATAATAACTTTAAAACCAGATTCTAATAGGTGTTTTGCAATTTCATAACCTATTTTAATTCTTCCTCCTGTAACAATGGCCACCTTATGATTGAGTGCAGCTTTGGCATTTGGTATATCAGAGTAAGAGAATGCATTGGTTTTATTTATATTATTGTATCTACAAACTGGGCATACTCTAGTGGATGTATCTTCAAGTGGTTCTTTACAAATATAGCATTTGAATTTAAGATTTGATGCTAAAGCATTTACTTTAATATTTTTGAATCTCCATTCACATGGAAGGATTTGAATAATATCTTTTTTGGGATCAGGATCCAACATTGAGCTCTTAAAATATGAACTGTTTCTATAAGAGTAAATATCGATTGCCTCTAAAATTTCATGAAATTCTGTCTCTGGTCCATATGGGAAATGGAAGATGGAGCTTGCTTCGTTATAGCTTGAAACAATGAATTTTGGTCTTGAGAATGCATCAGTGGGTATGTATGTTAAAATATTGTCATAGAGGTCCTGGTCCATATCGCATCTTGGTTTATGAACACAGTTTTCAAAGCAAATGCTATTGAAGCCACGTAAGCAGTACTTGTAAAGTCTATCATTGTCTTCGAGGAAAATTGAGGGAGGAACCATATTTAATCTCTTGTTAAATGCGTTGATGGTACGGGGTAAAACATAAACATTGTCACCATTATAAGCAGTGCACGAGCAGTCCAAGTCGTAGAATAAAATTAAATCTTCAATGGATCTAATAAAGAAGATCATTAGTTGTATTGGTCTGTAGGGGTACTCTGATACAATAGTTATTGAGTTTTGGGTTCTAACGAATTTAAAATCGAGGCCTTTCTTGCTGATCATATTTTCTCTAATTTTTTTGGAAACCTCTTCTATTTTCTTTTTACCTTCTTCTATAGTTGGAGCAATAAAGAACAAATCGATATCACCTTTCATATATGGTGAGCTTCCTCCGTGGTAGTGGTTGAATAAATCGTCATAGAATGAATGATATGGTTTTAAATAGTTAAATATTAATTGGGCAGCATCCATTGGCAAACCTGAGTGATTTGATAGCACACGGTAGATGTTTAAAAGCTCCAAATATTTCTTGATTAGTGGCTTTGGTAAACTACTTAAGCACGATGTTACAGAACCACCCGATGCAATAACCTTGGTTTTATCTTCACCATTGCCCCATTCTATTCCATCTAGAATGTTGTTTGAGTAGACTTTAAAGCACTCTTTGAATAGTTCCAGAGATGGTGTAATTGACCAGTCACCAACTTTATTATAACCAATTTCTTTTTCCAACTTCGATCCATCTGTATAGTTATTATAATCTATGAGTGGATGGGTGGTTTCATATTTAGTAACCTTTTCCCTTGTAAATAATTGTTTATCTGCAAGGTTGTGTTTGATTAAAATTGATTCCTTTTTAAAGTGATTATAAACTTGGATTAATTGTGTTGGTGGTTTAATTGTTTCATCATTATATTGCTTGGTGATTGATTGTGGTATTGAAATATCTACTGGATTAATCTGATAGTGTTTTAAATAAAATTTTTGAATTATTTTAATGTCTTTTTGAATAAATGTATTATTTACTATTGACGATTTATAAACTTTAATTAGTAATTTAATTGATTTCTTTTTATATCTTTCATAATTTTTTTCTTTATCATTTTCATCTTTATTCTTTTCATCATCATCTTCATCATTTTCATCATCATCTTCATCACTTTCATTATCTTCGTTATCTTTCATTGATTCGCTATCATTTTCATATTCACTTTTTTGACTTTTTAAAATTTCTATTAATTGTTGGGTGATTATTAAATAGTTGAGTTTATTTTCAATTGCACATTCTCTAACCATATACCAAAAAAATAAAGCTGGATATTTATGTTTGATTCTGAGTGATTTTGGGAAATCTAAAAGTTTTTTAATATTATTATTTTTTAAATTTATATCATTTTTGAAACAATCTTTAATATGATTTACTATTGATTCTGTAAAATCTCTTTCAAAAAATGTTTTCATTTTATGAAATTTAAAATTATTATAATAGTAATAATAAAACAATTATTTATTAGTGTGTTGTGGAAAAAAAAAAAAAGCAATGAATAAAAAAAAATAATAAAATAAAAATATAAAAAAAAAAAAAATATTAAAAAATCAAAATTTGATTATTTTAAAATTTTTTCTTAAAAATATCTTTAAATAATTTAGAATAAAAATTTAGAAGAAAAATAATAAATACTAATAAATTATTTTATTATAATTTTACATAATGGTTTAAAGTAATCCAAAAATAAAATAGTTCTTTAAAGAACTTTAGCACTAACACCAATACCGAGGATACCTAAAAGGTTAGCAAAAATGTTAACATCAGCAAGATGAGCATTATTGTTTTTAGCAAATGATGCAGAGTCAGAAGAAGCAGTATAGTTTGAAACACCAGTTTGTTTAAATGATGAACTTTGAACTGAACCGAGACTTGAAATAGCAGCTTTTTATTATTACAATTTTATATTAATAAATATTTCTTTTTATAAATAAATATTATTATACATACCAATAATTGACATTTTTATTTTTTTTTAATTGTTTTTTGTTTAATTAAATTGAATGAAAATAAAAAAATAAATTTGTTAAATTTATAGTTTTTTAATTTTTAATTGTTATTTAATATTAAAAACAATTCGGTTTATCTGTGTGATTGTTTATTATTGTTTGAAATCTTCATTTATATAAATTAGGCAAAATCTAATTTTAAATCTTGTTTATTATAAAATGTTTAAAAAAAAAATAAACCAAAAAAAAAAGTGTTAATCTTTAAGGCAAAATAAAGAATAAAAATGGGGTGATTATGAGTGATTGTGGGTGATTGTGAATGAGTGGGTGTGTTTAATTAACCGATGTGATTGTATAAAATAAAAACCTTATTGTGAAATAAAATTCATAAGAAACATCAACAAATTTAAAATTAATACATAACAATTATTTAAAAAGAAGCGCTAAAATTAAAAAAATAAAAAATGAAAAAAAGTATTAAATATAATTTTGGAAAATATAAATAAATATTTATTTATGATTTTAGAAGTACAACATCTTTTTTTTTTAAAAAAAAAGTGAGAGTTTAAAGAACTTTGGCGCTAACACTTAAACCGAGGATACCTAAAAGGTTGGCTAAGATATTAACATCAGCAAGATGAGCATTATTGTTTTTAGCAAATGATGGGTTTGATGAGGATGAGTTTGAAGCAGTCATTTGTTTATATGATGATGAGCTTTGAACTGAACCAAGATTTGAAAGAGCAGCTAAATTTTTAAATTTTTTAAAAAAAAAACTTTTAATAAATTTTATTTAATTATATTAATATATTAATATTTATATTTACAAATAATTGTCATTTTAATTGTTAGTTTATTTTATTGTTTGTTTGTTTGAATGAAAAAAAAAAAAGAAATATTTTTTCAATTTATACAAAATTTTTTTATTTTTTTTTTATTTTTTATTTTTATAAAAAATTTTAATAAAGTATTTTAATAAATGATTTAATAACTTAGATTTTATATAATCTTCATTTTAATGCATATGTTATATTTAAAATCTTGTTTAATCTTGGTTTTTTCATAAATTTAATTAATTAAAACTAAAAAAATATTTAATGGGGTGTTGGTTAAATTTGTAAAAAATATTTTTTATCTACATGTTTTAATTTGGAAATAATAGTGTGTGGGTTATAAAAGGTTAATGGTTTTCATTTTTTTGTGTTTAAAATATATTTTGTGATTGTATTGAAGATAATAATATTTATTGTAAAATGAATATAGAATATTCTATATACTTGAAACATATAATAATAAAAAAATTCAAACTATTCTAACCTGTCAATCTATTAATTTTTATTGAATCATTCATTACTAAATATATATTATCAACATATTTTATATTAGTTTAATTTTAAATTATTATAATAAAACCCAACAAACAAGAATTTATTGATTTTTTATTTGTTTTTTTTTTAGTATAAAATGGTTAGTTTTTTTTTTAAATAATCATTCAATTCAAAACAAATAAACAAATAAACAAATAAAAAATG